AATGTAACTATAAGAACTAGATTACACTTTTATAGATTACTCGGATCTAATTATATAACAAGAATTCATAACATGTTTAGTCAATAGGTCCAAGTGTAGCACACATGGTTTTGACCCTTTATCCTATGGTGATTTACCATATGATAACACCATGAAGTGGAACCAAAACATGACATATGCCACATGTCCAAGGGACAGTGGTGTAGAATCCAAGGTTCAGGGCCTTGGGCCATTGAATGAAGGAATGGTGCCAAACTCCCAAGTATGGAGCCAAGGAGTGACAAAATCGAACTATGGAGCAACTTCTGAGCATACAGCCTAAGGAGCGAAGGGACAGGAGTTCGGAGCGACTTGGAACAGTCTTAAAGCAACCAGCATCCCAATGCCAGGACTAGCACGCAAAACGGAGCTAAATGAAGTTTGGCGCTATTTCGGCATACTGGTGGCCTAACGCAAGAATATGGGTACTCTACCAGCTAGCATGGAATGGAACTTGGGCTTAGACCGGACACAGAACAAGGACAGGCACGCAAATGGGAGCTAGACTATGCCTCAGGGCCCGACCTACCCATTATCCCTACTATTTATTTGGAACCCCACACCCCCCCCCCCCGCCCCCCTCAGAAACACACGTTTTGGGCTTTCACCCCAAGCTTCCCTTAGTATTAGGAGTTCGTCTTTGAGACAAGCTCGAAACTTACTAATTATGGAATATCGCTAGATTGTGAATTTGGATACGGGACGAACACCATTGTGTTCAGGACAATCTCTACATTCTGTAGATATGTCAAATGAGCAAATCTAGACACTTTCTATAAATAATATTTGGGACCGAAATGAGACTAACACAAAGGGCATGATAGTGAGGGTGTTTGGTAGACACGGTAAGCTATCATCCAGTGATATTGAGAGATCAATTTCAATACACGAGGGTTCTTGTCAAGCCAGTGCAAGACAGAGCAAAAGAGAACTAAGAGCTAGGCCGAGTATGTTCAGCTAAAAACACATAGGAGTTCCTACCTTATGTCCATCTGGCTAAGTATAGGTGTTAAGCCCAGTTTACTAACACTTGAACAAGAGGGGCTGATAAAGGGAACTAGTAATATTGACCTCTTGCTATCGTGGCAGTAAGGTAAGAGTGTCCGTAAGGACTAGTTGACAAGTAACTTTCGATACCCAAAATCACATTCGTGACACCAAGCATAACTAAAAAACTTATGGGTTAGTTATAAATAATTAGCACTTACCTAAAACTAAAGTAAAGACTATAAGATGGGATTTATATATGTACACAACCTCTTAATAGACAAAGCTACAGTATGAATACTAATAATTTAACTACAAACAATTAAGTTAAACATCATTATCCTCAATTAGGTGAGAGGCCACAAAGACTAAGTCAAGATTAGTGAAAGCTTACTACTTTCCTAGAGTTTAATCCAATATAAAATACAACTTGCCACTAAGTATAATACTAAAGAAGAAGGTATAAGTATCAACCACTTTTCTACGCTAACTCTAAACTTTATCCAACTTAATTGCCTTCCTTTCAAGTTACATCATTCAGATTACCAAATAAAGTTTAAGGCAACTAAACTCAACTTCAACCCTTGATTAGTTTATAATAACTTTATGAAAATAGAATGGTTCAATATTTGATATTGACATCCAAAATGAATACCTAATACTCAATCATAAAGATTATATATTTGGATATTTATATTGCACTAATACTCTTCTTCAATCACTTTTAAAATCTAGTATGTAGCCAAAACATTAACAAGAGAAATAACATGAAAAATCAAGCTCTAAGAAAAACTCCTTATCATTTGATGTAACAATGCCACTTTTATTATCATAAGTGTTAACAATGCAATTACCTTAATTTCACACATTCTTTAGTTAACAATTTACCCATCAACAATCAACAACCTATAAATTCACCAACAAGTTATAGTAAATAAATATTACAACTTTTCCAAAACTTTAATGGACAAAATCTCAAGGAACCAAGGTATTAACACCAGCTTAACATGATGGATCATGAAAAATAATGCTATTACTTGCAAATAAACTAGCATCACCATCAACCCTTTTAGTGTTGATTATTGTTTGATTAAGTAACTTTGTAAATACATTGCTCATGATCACAAAAAACATGATATAAAAATCAAATAACTTGATAATCAATCAAATGATATCACAAACTAAGCCTATACCACTACTATAAAGGTTTATACTAGTATCAAGTATTGACTCAAATGATAAAATGTAACATAAATGCCACACTTCATTGATATAGATTTATAACACTTAATACCACTCACTTCATTTATAACGTAGACAAGTATATATTATTGTCTGTCTAACTCAAAAATAATCTAACACTAAGTTACCCAAGGAGCAATAACAAAGTTCTTTAAAAAGAATTGAGCATTACAATGAAAGTCTTTTGTGAGCATGTTTAAGCAAAATAGTTTAGCACTTCACCACTATCCAATCCATGGCACACCATTTATAAGACAATTATAACTAACATGTAGGGATTCTTGATTGCATAATGTAAATATGAATAATGAAATTACACTTTGTTGCAGATTATTGTTTTAAATAAAAGAAGATGATTTACATATTTAATCCTTTATCTCTGATAATTTTCTTTTCGGACTCAACTTAATTAAACCTTAAACTTGCGTTTGCACTACCTTCAATCCAATCTAATAAAAGTTTATAACAATAACTAATTGAACTAATAAACTAATCCATACAACCTTAATTGATCATTCATAATCATGTTTAAAAACAATCCACTAGTGCCATGCTGAATAACTACAAATGATATTAATAAAGAGTATAACAATACTTATTTTTTGCTGTCATAGAAGATAATAATATCCAAAAAGACTCATTGACACATAACTTATAGTACCAATAATCACATTCATGACAAAAATAGGTGATCTTAAATATATAATAATAGTTTCAATTATGTCATTTAGTTTTTAAAAGTTAACGTATCTAAAGCTTCCACATAGAATCTAAAGCTAGTTCTCAATGTTTAGAATTTAATTTTAGAAGATGAAAGAATCTGTTGGTCTCAAGAAAACTATTATATTAAATTTATATTCATTAGTAGTTGGCTTGGCTTAACTCAGGCTCCATGTAGAAAACCTTTCTGAAAAACCTATCTGGATGGATCAACCAAAAAGAAGTTTGGAGTAGGCGCATTTCGGTGAGCGAGATCACTCTCGGATTCTGCATTGGCATTTCTGGCCCGCCCATGTAGAATTTGCGGTTTTGTTTGTGGATATAGGTCCTCTCACCATGGCGCATATTGCAATCTCGACGCTTATGCCACCGACAGTGAAACTTAAGCTCGTTGTGACAAATTCTATTCCTCCGAAACGAGGATTTGGCCAGAGTGCTCCACAGAAGAAAGAGGCAGCTACGAAAAAGCAGCAGGAGCTCAAGAGTGTGGTGAAAGAAGTGGAGAAGGTATAGAACTTTCTTTGTGCTTTGTTTGTTCTTTGCAGAAGCAATTGCTTCCTTTAGGAAGTGAAGCACCGGAAGAGAAGGCTGCACATTGATCCCGAGGTCGCAGCGAAAGGAAAGGTGGATTTTGTGCAAGTAGAGTCGTGGGACGGAGGAGAGAATCCAGAGGACCTTGAGAAGCTCAAGCTCAAGAGTTTTAGTCCATCGGCCAGCTCTTTTGGGAATGACTTGCCATTCTACGAGCAACTTGTGAAGCGAATTCAGCTCTTGGAAAGCAAGGTATTTTTGCTAGAAAAAAAAGAAGAAGAAGAACGAAGTTAATGAGATTTGTTTTGCAGGGAGACATTGCGGTTGTGCAGCCGCGAAAGCTTCCTCCATTCGAGAAATGGAAGTTTGGAGAGAAGAAATATGTGCAATACCTTGTCGACCAGGTCAGTGTTTTCTCCTTTTCTTTCTCTACCATGAACACGAAAACTTTGATGGATTCGTGGTATTTCTTAGCGCGCAGTGTACCGCGCATTAGGCAGTGCCATCGAAATCTGTGCTGCTATCGAAGACAGCGTTGCCATTTTCAACGACAAACTAGGCTTGAATCGTTCCTCGGTAAGCTTTCCTCCAAGTTTTTTTTGTTCTCGTAAGCATGCATGAGACCACGAAACTATGAAAACCAACAGGCCATTGAAGCGGATCTAACAGCGATGCAAAAAGAGAGCTCGTTGTCCACTCTGCCAGAACCAAACACTCAAACGCTTGCCTATGTGAAGGTATGAAACACTCACACTTGGAAAAATGGTGGCTACTTTTTCTGCAGTACATTGAGCAATTAGCAAATCCATCGCCGGGCCAAAGCGAAGAAAAGTCGAGAGAGAAACGTCTCAGACTCCTGGCACACATTTTTGGCGTAAACGTCTCACATCTATCAACAGGTACGAGGAGAACAAAACTTTGATAGATTTTTGACAAGTTTCTTGGGCTGGAAAACAGGAATGCGAATTGGTGCCAAGGCTGTAGAGTGTCTTCCAGTTTTGTCCGAGCGCAAGGCATTCTCGTTTTACCACGTCTATCCAGAGGTAAACGTACCGAAACTTTTCGAAGCTCCAGCAAAGTTCTTCTCGTGCACAGGGCGTGAAAGATCCGATCAAAGTTCTCATTGCTGCCTTCAACCAAGTTGGCCACCTCATCACTGCTGAAGACGATCGCGAGGAGGTAACTTCGCAATTCGCTCTTCCCTTCTTCACTTTGCCTTTTAATCTTCTCAGGTGATGCAAGAGCTTCCCAGAGCGATACAAAAGGCCAGCCTGCTACTCTCCAGCCTTGCTGTTGTCGAGTAGAAGGAAAAAAAAAAAAAAAGAGAAAAGAGGAGTTAGCCAAGAAGATCTTCAGGCTTTTGTGAGTGCCTGTAACGTTTCGTCCTCCACCAAAAGTAAGAACGGCCTCCTTTCAGCTCTCCCGTTCTTTGAATTGTTTCTTCGAAATTGTCCCAGGTGGTGGCTTTTGTCTGGTTTGTTTCTTTGCAAGCTGTGGCGATGGTAGATCCAACTCGTAACATGGTTCCAAGATCGACTGAGAATCGACTGGAGAAGAAATGTCGACTGGAGCGGTCTCTCGGGCTCTCTGTTGCTTGGACATTCTCATGGCTTTACGAACGACATCCTTGTCCGCATCGCTGGAGCAAACGAAAAGAGCCGTGCCGTAAGTTCCATAGTCGGGCCGGAATCCATCCAGGTCCATGAGCTTGAACAGCCTCAACGCTTGAGCCGGATAGCCTTGCCGAGTATACGCGGAGATCATCGAGCTCCACCAGCTACTTGTTCTCTCCGGCACACTGTCGAACAGAATCCTCGACTCCTCCACGCTCTTGAGCCGCAAGTAAGCACCAAAGATGGAGTCCCACGTCGAGAAGTTCCGCTCGGGCATGGCGTCAAACACCACCTTTGCAAACTCCAGCTTGCCGACGTCCGTGCAGCAAAGTCGAAGCATCGTGTTCCAGACCTCCACGCCGGATCCCGAGCGAAAGCCATCGAAGAGTCTCTTGGCGGAGTCGAAGTCGCCGGCTTCCACTCCAAAGGCTTGGATCAATCGCCCGAGAGCTGCAGCCTGGAGTGGAGGTGCAATGTTTAGCAGCAACGAGGCCTGGACAAGCAGCTTGTTCTTCACGGAGCACTCGACCATGGCAGCCCAGCACGAAGCGCTCGGTTGAGGCATACTCTCGAAGACGTTCTTGGCTTCCATCACCATTCCCTGGCTTCCATATCCCCGGATCAGCATCTCCGATATCTCGGGATCCAACACCCGTGAGGTTTGCGGGATTCTTCGGAAGATCATCCTGCCTTTGTGAGGCTTTCCTTTCTTCACGTACGCTGCGATGATCCCTTTGAAGGATCCAAAATCACGTCTTGGTATTCGCTTGAACACCAGCTTGGCCTCGAGGAGATGCCCGCTCCTTGCAAATGCTGCGAGGATAGAGTTCCAGGATAGGATATCTTTGTGGTGGCACTTCTCAAAGACTCGCTGGGCGGACTGGAGTTTGCCTTTGTTGACGCAGGCGATGGACATCGCAATGCAAGCCTCCATGCTGAACTGTGGCATTCTCTTGAACGCCCTCCGGGCCTCATCGAAGTGCCCTTCCTTTGCATAAGCTGCGAGAAGATTGTTCCACAAGGGAGGACTCATTGCCAACCATAAGAAAACACGGACCTAGAAAAGGCTTTTCCGTGAGAAAACCAAAAGAATGAAGCTTGCCTTTTGATCACGTCACGCAACTGCAATGCCTGGACAACAGTATTATCGATCTACTCGCTGAATAGGTACTTTGAGGGGCGTTTTAGACTCCACATAGAACAGTTCCGAAGATGAACGTGAGAAATGTGTATCTTGGAATGCCATCATCTGACAGACATTTTCATGGCTAAGGCGGTCTTAAATTTTAATTCTTGTATTTGTTGTTTGAAAACAAATTTGTGTTATATCATGTCAATACTGAATTTAAACCTCTGGTCACTCTTGGACCTTATTACCCTTGGAGGGCCTCACTAACATTGTATCAATATAGTTTTTCAAGTTTTATGTACTAAGCAGCTTTATTTTAATCTAAAAATGAAAAATAAAATAAAAAACAGAGAAAAAAAAAACTTTATCATCTTGCTTGTTGTTGTTGTTGATCTGGAGGAGGTTCTGGTCCATGGAGTTTGGTAGCAATGATGTCGAGGGATTCATAATGTTCTTACCAGACTTTGCCTATATTGTCACCCCCACAAGTACTGCTCAAATATTTCTTGCTCAGTGTGCTGATACGCCAAGGATCTGCAAAGGAGAAAACGGGTCAAAAGCAGTGATGAACTAGTCAAATCGTTTGTTCTCACGCACCTGTTGAAGCATCAATGTGATCTGATCTTCTTTGTAGACCAAAACACCCTGATCAAACCGGCACATCCCCTGATTTGTCTTGCACATTGATTTAAACTTGCATTTTCTAACAAGACAATGAGAATCCAACATAAGGAAGGTTGTAAAGCAGCGCGCGCCTCCACGACATCAAGCCCCAGATCATATCATCTTACCCCACCGGCGGCAGTGGCTCCGGGTCCGGTTCTTGACATCCATATCACCGCAAAGCCAAAGCTTCAACTGTGAGATTATACAGCTCAGGTATTCACACCCCGAGCCCTCATTTCCAAGCATTTTGAGCGAATAGTCCAGCCACGAGATGCTCAACCACCATGTTCTTCTTGGTTAACTTCATCATCCTCCCCTCAATAGTTCCCCTAAGCACTGATTAGCGGAGCCTATCTAGATCATCACCTGGACATATGAAAAAATTTGAGTAACAGCATCTGGAACAAGTTTTAATACCTACTTTGCTCGTCTGACCCCATGAGCACGAGCCTGCAAATCAGCATGTGGATTCCAGTCACTAATGTTGATGAGACATGGTATCTCATCCTTCACAGCTTAGAAACTCAACCTGCTGGTTAAGTACTGAGGCAGATATTTCTCCCAATTAATAATATTGTCTTCACTGCTTGTTCCACCAATGCAAAAGGAAAAAATGGAATGCTCCAGATTGCATGATCTGGAAGGGGTTGCAGGTCAGAAGTGAGGACCTTCCAGAAATTCATGATGGAACTGTCTCTGCTACCCTTGCCCTTGTTCTCAGCAGCGGCTTCATGGATGAGAAATACAGACACGTTCTACTGGAACTAGTGTGAAAATTTCAATCGTGTGCCCTTTGCAGAAACGAAATAATCTCGAAAGCTATAAGAATTTCCTTAAAGCAAAATTTTATACTTGACCACATGGTAAAATCTTTTCCTTTTAATTTGCATTCTCCCAGTTTGTGGGCTCTAGAGCTATATTTCCAGTATGATAAAGTTTTTGCTGAATGGCCGTGCAGGATTGCATTGAGATCTCTTGAGGTGGACCAGACACTCACACTCTCTCTCTCTCTCTCTCTCTCTCTCTCTCTCTCTCTCTCTCTCTCTCTCTCTTAAATGGGGAAATAAAATTTAAAAAAATATATTCAAATAACTAAATAAAAACTATAAACTGGAAATGATGAACTCTTTTAAAGTTTTAAATTTTAGCCAAACAACTTAGTGATGAACTTCACAAAGAACAGCCAACTCGATCTCATGAACTTTAGCAAGCCTGTATGCTTGAGTGTCTCCCCTAGAAAAAATTCCTTCACTTGCTCATCATTCTTCAAAATAACTGCCTTTCCATGGGATGCTTTGTTTGTGGCCAATAGTTCTTGGCTCAATCATTGCAGGCGCATCCATGGCTTGAGAGCAAGATGGTCTTGAGAACAAGATGATGTTATGTTCTCTTGAAAATCTCTATAAACAATTTTATGGGCCAGCCAATTTCTATATAAGTGTATGTCATTTGCCTATGAATTAAACACTTGTTTTGCTTATAATAGTTATTGTGTGGTTTGACCTACAATACTTTTGTGAATTGATAGTGTTCTCAAAGCCATAGGTCAAGTGCTGCAAACAGCACCACAAAGGAGCCCTCTTCACCACATACTTGCTCTAGTACTATACAAAATGTGCTTTGAACTCTTCTTTTGCTTGTTTCTTGCTGTAAAGCTGTATTCCACAAGGTTTGCTATTTTGTGTCGGTTTTGTTTTGTTCTGTTTTTTCTTTTTATATTTGCTTTTTTCCTTTCAGCTGTTTTAAGTTTGGATTTTTGTGATGAATTATTAGGCTGGCTTTGTGAGTGTGGTGGTCCCTAATCATGAAAACTTAGAGACATTCCAGTCATAGCTATGATATGTAAACCCGGGGCCTTTTAACTTATACTCAGCCAATCTTTCCACTTGAAGTTGGTGAGCTGATGTCTGTGCATAAGCCATCTTGAAGAAATTTCAAGAGCAAGTAATCTGAATAAAAACATTACATTATTTTATTATTTATTTTGAAATTTCCAGTTTTATATTTTAAATTTGTATTAATTGGTAATGATCTGCGTGACTCTAGATCCAGATCAATGCCTATGAAGAATTAAATGGATTGCAACTGCTTGTCTGAAGGAATGGGGTTCACAGCTCCTATTTGTGTGCTAACCTAGCAAAATCCTAGTGATTTTCATAAAAATTGACACACTACAAGTGCACCTCATGAAGTTGTCTATTCAGAAGATGACTTCCATAAAAGGTAGTGCAAAGATCAAAAAGATCAGAATCAACCATTGTCACAATCCAAAAAATGTCTTTGTGATTGCTACAACCCATCTGAATGTAGATCAGATCATCAACCTCCTTTCAGAACACTCTCCACTTCCTCACCTGATCTAATCTTGCCTTGCTCCTCTCTCATCCAGCGGCACAACCAATGGTTCCGATTGTCTACACAAGTTGTAGCACACACTTTCCTGGACAAATCTCTTGCAAATCCCCCTGATTTGAACTAGAGTTAGACCCTAGTTTCTAGGAAAATCTTAGCTCTTGATTACCAACAAATGAAGATTTAACTAGAACATCATCTTCAGATCATTGTGGAAGCATCATTGTGATGTTCTTGTTGTCCTCAAACCTCATAGGCTACAACAAATCACTAAATCATGCAATCACACATAAAAATTAAATTTTTCTGTGGAAGCATTAATGCAACACTTTTGAGAAATCTAAGAAATCTTACTTGGCTTTTGTCTCTCTTTAGAGGAAAACTAGAGAGTGTTGCTAGTGAAAGAGTTAAGAATATCATATTCTAAACAAATAAAAAATTAGACTTAGCCAAGGAAAACAAAGAACAACTACTCTTACCAAAAAAATACATAAAGGTGGGTTGTAATACCTCTATTTAAGAATTGGCCATATTTTTAAACAGCTAATAGAGATCTTTGCACAAACCAAACAAATAAACCCATAAGTTCATCTTGAATATAGTCTCAACAATCATTGTTCTTATTATAAGAAAAAATCTATTAGCAAATAGAATTAATTGCATATACAAGGTTCCTTACCTTGAAGCATATTGTTTGGGATTCAAATTGCACTAGGGATTAAAGAATGTCTGATTGGGAGCCTTTTAATGGAAATCTTGATAGGCCAAATCTATTGTCAATACAAGCTATTGAGGCATGGCCAACCATATAGACTCCACAATAGAGTAGCCCTTCTCCAAGTTTTACAAAACCCTTTCCCCATATCATAGTCACCA